TCCCCCTTGCTCTGCCGAAATGTACTTTTCTATAATTTGATTTATTTCATTCCTATGGAGGAGCATTCTCTGGAACTTCACTACCGCTACTGCCACTGCCCTTATAGGATGGATGGCATTGATTCGTACTGCAATTGCCTTGGACCGAACACATTTAGGACCTCATACATTTTGAAGCAGCAGTTAGGCTAAGCCTGCCTTTTGCGTCAACATCGGAAGTGTTCCTTTAAAAACACCAAAGACTGAATTCAATTCTCCAACAGACGGGTCGACTCTTGTATAACGCTAGCATCGCGTTCTATTTTGGAGGGCTTCGAAAAAGGTAACAGGTAAGTGATCAGTACAAGTCAAATCTTCAGAATATGCCATGCACTCGAATTCCTCCGTAAATGCTATGATCTTTGAATGCGTTGCTTACTTCTGCTTGGTCCTTTCAATATCAGGCGATTGTCAGTTCTGTTCCTATTCCAGTAGAAACAAGTGTCAGGTAATCTTCCAAGGTTTGGGCCTTAGAAGGGAGGTAACTAAGTTGGCAGTCGTTATGTAGCTTCTTCCCCCTGAAAAACCAATGCTCAATAGTTCTGATAGATATTGATCGAAGATCAGCAAAAGACCTTCCCAGATACCCTATCAAAGGTCCTCCTGGATTATAGAGGCTTTTCATGTGTTTATTGCCACTAGTTTTACTCTTTCAATAGTTCGAAAAAGCTTTTTCATTCCCGATCAGATAAATGCCCTTCAGGGAAGTGAAATGCTGAACTACTGATCTTGAGAGATGTGAAGGGCAGATGAATACTGGAGATGAAAGGTCTCATGAACTTAACGGATTCAGTCGCTCAGAAATTCCACCTCCTTCCTGATAAGTATCTCATGCTCATTCAGCTTTCTCGAAATCTAATTCACTCGACTTTATTGCTTTCGAGGAGCGGTCTTTCTAGGTCGAAACGTTAAGGGTTCATTTGTAATCGAGAATAATTCAGTTGAATTCGGAAAAGTTTTTCTTCACCCTTCTTTCTTGCTTGGCTTGGCAATGCTCATGCTATCGTATTACTTTCTATATTCCTTAGAAAGTACTTCTAAAATAAATTCAATGGTAATAGTTTCAAAACGGGATTTTCGGCACAAATAACTTGAAACTGAAAAGTACCCAAAGCACCCGTATCCATGGGCTCATAGCTCCTTCTCGCTCCCCACGAAAGCGACTTTCGTGGAACTTCTCCGTTTTGTAATCTATTTACAAGTTCGCTTACCACGTGTGTGAACTGCTGAGCGAGCATTTCAATGAAAGTTATTTTTGGTAACAACTTATGAACAGAATATTCACACTTTGAAAGGGCAAACGGAACGTTGTTGAAAACCAAATGACGTTTGGCGTGGTGACCATAAAAACGGAGGCTGCAACCGAGTTTTGGAAACGCGGAAACTTCACTGGCTTCCCAGGAAGCCTTAAGGGTCACGCTGCTTCTCTACTGAATAATTTATGGCTTGATGCAATGTTTGTGCATATTTTCTCAGTGACTTCACAGCTTTCCTCTATGGAAGCCTTTCTGGATGCCTATGAAAATACCATGCATCGAATAAATTGTATACTACATAACAATTTTCTTACTGCATGGCAGAAGGTAACTAGTACCTCCCCCCCATTTCAATTCGATCAATCAGTTTCGTGGAATTTTCCGTTTTTTTTTTCGAGTGGTTACTCTGTTCTTACTCCATTGTTCCGACAACTCTTAGAGAATTACCACTCTTTTTGAGATTTACAAGTTTACAGCTGTCTCCCAGCATGAAAGGATGGATCTCGACTGACAGTAACCATTACTTCGTTGTAAATTGAAGAGGTCTAGGATGGGCTGAAAAGTTAGTGGGTGGCATTATAAAACTGCAAATGCCATTACTCATATGACATTTCTGCTTGGCTCCTCTTCGGGAATATCAAAATTACCTCATTCACAAATAAATAGGTCGTTGGGATGCATGAGGGCACATATAAGCCTTCTCTTGAATAAATTTTCCTCGGAAAATTGTAGGGGGCGTTTCAGGCAATTTTGTTGAAGGAGGATTTCCTGAAAAGCCGCCTTGAGAAGTGCCCGGGGATTTGCCCTAGAAAACTTGCTTTTCTAGAACATTCTGATGAAACAGGAATATGGGAGAGTAATGCACGTAGTGCTCGGCTTGTAAAACTCGCTTTACACCTTTTCTCTTCTGGTTAGTAAGACTAACTCGTCAAGTAATTTCGAAATGCTTCCATTTTTCACTGACTCGCACTTCCTATTTATTTCTTTAGTTTTATGGAATGCCAATGTCGTCTCTCTGATGAATGAGCAATATATCACTACTAGTTACTGCCGGTGAGACTCCCCTTCCTCACCGAGAAAGAAAGCTATGTGAAACTACTGATGTTAGTACAACGGAAACGAAAAAAACCTTCTCGGAGAACTCTGACAAAGGATCGCTTTGTGAATTCATTTTAAGGAGTTGGAACTAAGTTAGATTTTTCAGACAATTCTAGCTGTAATCGAATGTTCCCACAGAAAGAGAAAGAGCGGCTTTCAGATTCCATCTACAAACTTGGTAGCGCCACTCTCCTCACTTAACTATTTTCTCTTTGGACTCGTTTAGGTTGTCCTACCCACACAAATAGCTGGCAAAACAGTTTAAGAAGAAATTGAACGGTTCGAATTTGAATTTTATTTATTTTATTTTCCTTTATTTTATTTAAATTTACCAACAAAATCTGGTAAGCACTTTTTAATCATTGAAGGAGCGTTGTTTTCTGGATCACATTTTATTTGAATGTCTGAACTACTGCTGTCTTCCTAGTGGTAGCTAATATTGGGAGGATTGCCTCGAGTCAACTGCCGACCCCATAGAATTATCGGCAGCAGCTAAGAAAAAATGAGGAAACTCCCATGACAAGAAGCTCGTTCTTCTACCATTATATTAACCCATGTGCATTGAAGGTTATACGTAGGAGGACTTCATTCCCATTTAAGGTGCTGGCTAACTTCTCATTGGCCGGTTTGTCACATGACTGGTAGTCCACCAATGAGGGCATTGCCGATATACGCTGCGATAAGCATACCTATCCCTTGAACTACTTGTTCCAGTCCACTTATCGAAAAATTTTCGGTTCAGGGCTGAATTGAGGAGCGACCGAATAAGATTAGGGAATGAGATTCAATTGAATTTCTAAGTTGCCGTTTTCGACCTCTTCCTAGAAATGCCCTTGTGGGAATTCCTTTTACACAGATCTCTTAAGTTGTTGTGGGAATGTATAGAAACCAGAGTAAGAAACACATTTGGAAAAACATTTTTTGCGCCTGTGTTTGTTTTGAACCATAAAAGAGCTCGAAAGGGCAAAAAGCTCTGCATTTAGAATAACAATGACGACAAAGTGAGTGGGTGGCTTATAAAATGTGTTGGAGCAGAGGCCAGCCAACTGATGTTTAATACAAGTCCGATATTTTTATATTCCTCGGTCAGTATGGAGCCAATTAGCTGGCTCTGAAGGGAACGAAAGCCGGGGCGGGACTAGACTTGTTATTCGATCTATGGATCAGGCGCATGGTGGCCATGCTGCTTGTCACTCCCCAATTTCGTCTCTTCGAGCAGTTTACAATATATAATTAGCTAAAATACTAAATATAAATAACATCGTTCTCGGGTACTTAGAGAGAAGACTAGTTTTGGGTCCAAACTTCTTTCAAGTACCCGAATCGAAAGCTCGAAAAAGCTGAGCCTGGACTCTCGTCGGCTATCGGGGCCAGTTTCGGCTTGGCATGTGGAGTGGTGTTGTTTTTCAAGAAAATAAGTGTATATGCTGGCCGATTACAAATAATGACGTCCACATTTTCTAATTTTTGGGTTTGTTGACACGGGCAACGCCGCCTGGCGGAGTCCGATTATCCTTTTTATTACGGCCTCCAATTATGGCGTACACTCCCATATTTGCTAGTCTTCAATTTCCGAATGATACGAATTGTTTCCCTTTGGAATATGTATTGGATATGGCACATTTTGCTTGCCACTCAATTTCCTTATTCTTCGGATCATAATTGAATTTTTTATGTTTTTAATGAAAATTTTCTCATGAGAAGCTCATAGCGACTCATCTATTTGAGTTTTATTTGGATTTTCTTGTAGTGCTTGCCATCACTTTACCGTTTTGCATTTTTTTTTCAAAGAACTAGGAAAGGTATTCTTGAGTACATCTCATATACTTGAGTACATCTCGAAGCTTTAACATTCATGAAGAAATTTTCGTTTATCTTCCGAAAAAATTGTTCTAATTTTGTTTTTGATGAACTGCTCCACGTCACGATCTCCTCCCCTTTCAGCAGCACCCCACCCACTCAATTTACCTCCTTTCACCTCTCCTCCTCCCCCCACCCCCTCTCCTTCAGTTAGAAGAGTAACAGGCAAATTGCAACCTGAAAAGGATGGTAAATCCGGTAGCAGATCGGACTCGAAGGACCGGAATTGTTCAGTGTTAGTTGCCCTAAAGCTCGATTCTCAATCATAATACACCTCTAAACTTTCTTTCGATAAATATAATGTAGGGGAATGCCCTTGATGAATTTCGAAGCACTATAACTATTCAAGTTGCAAGTAATCGATTTTGAAGTCCTATGGCAACTTTATTTGTAAGTGAGCTCAACTCACAAGGGAACGTTTGTGCTGATTACAGAATTCTAGGAAAGTTCGTGGATTCTTGTTCACCAATTTTTGCTATGGTTTCCTCTTTGCCCGTTTTACTTTTTCCTAACTCATTTCTGCTTAGCGTGGGGTTATCGCCGTCATATTCCATTAGCATTATTGGATACGACGTTTGTGCTTGCCTAAAGTGTCTCCGTTTTTTTTCAACACCGCTGTAAATCTCTAAACATAATTGATTAGAAGACTATTCGTTCTCCATTTAATTTCATTATCGAGCTCATACCGTCGAATTTTCCTGATGTTCAAGCAGAATTCTCAGACCCATACAGATCCTCGTTGTAGGAATGGATGTCCATCTTCGATACAAGGTGCCTGATGGTTTGCGACCATTGTTGGAAGCATTGGCGAGGGAGACGTTACGATCGCAACCAAAGGATATCGTTCGATTTGCTCAGCTATTCTTCGAAGAGCTACAACATCATAGGAAAAGTAATTTTTTGATTCATTCACTATGATAAAATAAAATAGAATAAAAACCATAATAAAATTAGCAATGAAAAAATGAAATAAACTAAAAATAAAATAAAATACAAGCAAGTAAACAAAAATACATTTGGTGAAAAATATCCTTCCGACCTTATATCATTCGTGCAAAATTCCCGTTTCGAGCTGATTTGTTTAAAAGTTTTCTACTATGTGGATATGGCCCATAGCTACTATATCTCCTACTGCAGGGCTGTATCGATCTCTGAATGATACCAGTGACGTTACTAATTCTCTCTCTGCATAATCTCCCAGAGATTATGTAAAAACGCGACGTTGCTTCAACTAGAGGCTAAACAGTTTCGATATTCTACTACTAACTTACTAGTTCTGCCGCTGTTGTAAACGTAATCAATCCAAGTTTATGATTAATGTTGTAGAAATGAAAAACGTGTCTTTATAGCTTCAACGATGCTGTTTTCAACCTATTTTGACCGATAGACACTCTTCAAAGTTAAAATCCATAATTGATCAATTCGAGAGATTTCCTTTCAAATTTTCCAGGAACATTACCAAATTCTGATAACAATTTTCATTATAACAATTTATGTCCATATAGGATTAGGAAATTTTCCATTTCAAATTTAATAATTGTTAATGAATAAATAATTAATTAATGAATTGATCAACCAAATAAATAAACTAATAAACAAAATAAATTACAGGTAATCCCAATACTGACATCATTAGCGACCCAGTAGCCTATGAAATGTTTCGCACAGATCTTCAAAGACGAGTACGTTTCATGAACACTTTGCTTGCATTTTTATTAATTATTTTACAATGAAGAAATTCATAGTTAGTACAAGTTTTTAAGATTTATTTGATTACGAAATTTTTAAATTAAGGATTTTCTAACTCTAGGAGTCAACGTTATCTTGTAATTTCAGTACAGTAATGATGACCACTCGGAGCGTTGTGCTAGCCCTCTAGATGAAGCTGCAACGAAGATTCAAGCTGCTTTCCGGGGACATTGTGTGAGTCAATGTGTTAATGTTTACTGAACTCGAAGATCAACTTGAAATGTAAACTTCTCGTGAAGGAGTTGTCATGAATTCCATGCGTTCTCTGACTTGCCAATTGCTGTGACTCAATTGCACTTGCGAAACGATAAAACAAAGCATCTGATTGATTCATTCCGTCAATATCATCGGCTTGACTTGTGCTGTAACCTTCTTCATTTTCCTTCCCATTTCCTTTTTCTCTCACTCGGGACTTTCCAGTCAAGGAGGAACAGTTGGACCAAGTCCAAGGGACTACAATAACATTTGCTAAATTCGAATGCTGTTGAAGTCTGAGGTGAATAAACCCCAAATTAGCCCTCATGCTTAACAGTCTTTTACCTAGAGCCCAAGTATGTTGCCTATTCTTGTCAGTGACAGAATATCTGCATATAAAGGACTTCTAACAGTATGCTTGTACTACTTGCAAAACCTCTTAAGAGTTGTGATTTTTTTTTTGAAAACCAAAAAAGCTCCCGTTTTGGTGACAAGCGGTGTAACGTATGGTGGCATAGGGCTGTGTTAAAATGCCTCCATACATCAATTTCTATTTGAAAATCCAAAAATCACTTATTTCTGGTTCCAAGCAGAGCTGCAATATGTTATAGATGTCAAGATTATGGGCCGCCACTGGATTGACTTATAGCTTACACGCAATGGTGGAGACAGCGTGGGATCAGTGGGGGCGCAGATACCGCAGAATGGCGTGTGAGAAGAATTTTTTCTCTGAAAATTTCCTGCTTCATGCTCAACTAATCTGGGTGGCTTGACTACGAGAAACGGGAGATGTTCCCGGTACATATTCGCCGTTTTTGCTCCGTTAATTATCGAGTAGATATCAGTTTCGTAGGCCATCACTAGGTCGCTCGCATAAGGGGGACCCGTCAAATCCAAGACCCGCTCCAAGAAAAAGAACTTATCGAAAATCGGATCAGTTTCGCCAGGGTGGCTAACTCCCACATGCGATTGTTTTCAGAGAAAAGCCCTCTTCTCAGGGAACATCATGAGCTCATTGGTATCCTCATTGGGATTGGGATGGGAGGATCAATGGGTTTTCCTCATTGGGATTGGGATGGGAGGATCAATGGGTTTTCTCAAACTCTGTTCGAGAATTTGTCAAAATTAAAATTGAATTTCGAGTTATTTTTCACGATTATAAGTGTAGGACCGAGGTCATTTTTCAGTAATTACTTTTTACTTTATTTTTTGTATTTCGTCACGTGTCGTCACGTTTGGTGTGATGACTGTATTGGACGTACAATGCAACTTTTATGCCCCTCCCCCCCTCCCCACCCCTCTTTTCTGTCGAAGGAGCTTACGTGCACTTACAGAGAAGGGGAAATTAGTATGAGTGGCAAGACAGGCTTGCCTACGTCTTGGTTTCGAGAAGCTCTGACGTGATAATGTCGTCTTAGACTCCTTCATATTCATCCTGTGCTGAGTGCCTTTAAGATAGCCTACCTAAAAAGTGTTCAGACAGGATAACTGATAGCGATGCTAACGCGACGAAAAACTTTTCCTCAAAGTGACAGGCCGTGAAAAGCAGGATGCGACGCCGCCTTTCTAGGAATTCCCGCCCCCAAAATTAACCTAATCTCTACACGGGTAATGGATCATACAGGCAAATGACCATTCCCCAGCCACTCGGCTTTACTTATCGTGCCATTCCGTTCCGTCCTCTGATTTTTTCAGCATCCGTCAAGGGAGAGGGTTGATAAGACCATCGTAAAATCGCCCAGCTGCTGCTCTGACGTTAAGCATTTTATTACTTTAGCTGATGAAAAAAAACTAAAATCTCAAAATGAAAATTTGCGAGCCTCGTAAATCTTCTAGAAAAAAACGTGTGCTGATCCACAGTGAATTTGTTATGAGCTTCTCAGTTCCTGAATAACAAAGTAGTAAATTAACTATGCTATTCAAGAAAATGGGTATGAGTGAATGAATGAGTTTCAAGGACAAATTGGCTTCCAATTAGACGCATGCTCCTGCTCCTTCGATGGAATTGCTTTTTCGTGACTACTACGAGAAGGAAATCTTTCTGCGGGAGGGGCGTTCTCAGAAAAAGGGAATTCTGATTAGTCAGTCAGTCTAGACTCTAAATGTGGCTACATGATAGGATTCCCCTTATGAGCCAAACAGAAGGTAGCTCATGGGCTGCACGAGATAGGGAATCACTTCCTTGAGCTCATTAGGGTCGCCCAGAACGATAAGGGAACGGAGTGTGCGGGTGGGTCAATTTTTGTTGTGTCCCAGAAAGTCTAGCTTCAGGAGTAGGTGAAGAACAAAATGATTCGCCTGAAGTTGAGGCGAAACTTACATTTAATAAATAAACATTAAATCACAGAGGATTTTGTTCCTCGTTCTATTGTTTCATTTTGGATTGAAGGGGGAAGTTAAGAATGGAAACAGAAGGTTGCTGGATGTAGTAATTGTTCTGGGAATAGTAAGCGAGTAAATTGTAGCGATGAATACAATTCTTGCTCCAACCGCCCCCAAACAATTCTTTCAGAGAAAATGAGGCGTTATCCACGTTTTTAACAAATCCATCATTACTGGTAATTCTAAGTAACGCATGTGATAACATGCAAAGTTTGCGTAGTATAACAAGCTGGCGCAATGTTTTCCATCATGAAGCGCAGCGGGGGCTGTTTATATAGAAACATTTTTATGAATTTAAACGACGGACTCAGACTCAGCTTCTTCCGTTGCTACCGGATGTCCCCACCCTCCGTCTGGCTTCCTCCCAGGGTGCCATCAGCGAATTTCCTTTCCAAAAAAAAATTCGAGTGGATTTCATATTTAAACGTGTTTCTGGCGTCTGAAAGACTATCTCAAAACTATCTCACTCGTGTGACGTTTTGGCCGAGTTTTCCCATCCTTCCCTATTGGTGTACTAGTGCTAGAAAGAAACGGTACCAGTAGAGGAGAATTTGGGTTGGGTTTATCAGGCCGCTATTTTCACGAAGCTTCCTTTGAGGTCCTCATGGGGTCCTGAATGGAATTCCCGTGCATGGGTGCATGTATCAATAAAAAGCGATTTAAGAGGCGTATAGGCAAAAAGTCATTTTCAATCCCATTTAGCGGTATTAACGTGGATATTGGTTTCACTAGCGGTAGGTCTTTACGAGATTAGTTAAGTTTGAGTTAAAAGCACAATGAAGTCCTCCCCTAGCTGGAAAACAAACTCCTGTTAACTTAGTAAGATGCGTTCAAAGTTTCTCCTTCGTCTTAACTATTTCACTCGTTACCAGTTGTGCTTAAAATTTATGGCACCGGAGGTAAACAGATTTTTTTTTTCAGTTTTATTGAGATAACGAGTGTAGTAGCCTTGCCACAGTTGCACCGAAGTCTGGCCTTCATAGGGGAAGCATCTCTCCTCAGAAAAATGATTTCGCTCTTTACGGACCTTATAAGCCAGTTTTTTGAAGCCTGCTGCGTACTGAACTGCATTTCAAAGCCCTAAATCAAAGAATTGTGAACTGATAGTCTTTAAGACAGCTTCACGGCTATTCGCCTTTCCTTCTTTTCTTTTATGGTAGGATTCCTAGCTGCCTTCCTTATGTCTCTACCAGCAATTTTGTGATTTGGGCTGGTTTAGAACCTTCTTAAACTTTCAGACCTTTTGATTGTGTGAGTGGTGCCTGTTCGAGTGTTTGATCACTTATTTATGGCTGTATTTCCACTCAGGCGCAACATTCATCGAGTTCGAGATGAGTTCATGCCTCATAGCACAACTACTACTTTACGGCTTTTCCGCTTTTGTCTACTTTGCCCACTTTTTGCCGAAATATTGCTTTCTAAATATACACAACGTTAAGTAAAGGGAGTAAAAATAATGAACCAGTTTGTAATTATCCAATAATAAGGTAAACAATCTTTGTATTATGAGAATAGATCGATCTTTTCTTCTGAAACCTACTTTCTTAATTTCTGAATTTTTTTTTCAGTGTTTCTTTCAAATGTTAATATGTGTTATTGTGAGGCTCATAGGGGTTGGTATACGTCCCGGTTTCGTGAGTGAGCCAGTGAAGTCAGTAAATTTATGATTGTTCTGATTCAAAAACCGAGCAAGGACCAACAGGTGTAAAGGGACTAAGCCACTTCATAGATCTTTGTCCTGTCACGCATCTCTAGGACCACTGTAAGGACCCTGAACGGCTCAAAGGCGGGGGCAGGGCGAAATTTCCGTGGACCGTACTACTCTTGACCCAGATGCCACGAAAAACTGATACACTTGGAATGAGGCTTGAGTGTGGGAGTATAGTGGTATTTTTCACCGAAAACTAGCGCCAGGACGAATTAGCATCAAGTTCATTTGCGGTCAAGCGTACTTTGATGTTTCTGATTCTGTTTTCCAAGTTAAAAAGCAATTGAACGTGATTCACCGAATTTCCTTGGATTTAAACGTAAATTTGGTGTCATTTGAAGCAACAAGTACTCCTTAAGTACTTGTTTACACACTCAAGCTTGTAAAAAGTGAATATAGCAGGGAGAATGCTATTTACTAGATGTGCGCTATTGAAACCTTGCCATATATCAAGTAGTAAATTTCCTTTTAAGACCTGAGTTCCAGTTGTAGCGGGAATTATAGTAATTCATCTTATGAACGGCTCTTATGCTGATCCGTATGTTCGTATTTGTTATTCAGCCTTGAACAGTGGCCATTACCTTTGACAGTAAACCTCAGAAACTCTCGGAATGTATGTGTTCAATAACCAAACTTTTGCTTTATAGTATAAAGTCATTGGTGTCAGAAAGGTCCGCTACTTTCAGGTTCGCACACATCCGGAGAAATTTGGTGTGACTAAAGTGATCTCGAGGACCCATTCTAGTGATAAGATGGAGTCACTGAATAATAAGAAAGATTTGAAGTAAGTTTTGGGACTTTTCCAAAATTCTGAATCCCATTTTTTTTCCAATTTTCTTCCAATCCAATTAAAGAAGTTTCCGACTTCAAACTTAAAAATTTTCCAATATTCAAATCTTTGTGGTTCCGAATGACTTTTTCTCCGAATCACGCTGTTCAGACGCCATTCCGTGGGAGGGTATGCTATTAACGCGGATTCTCCTGAAGACCGAGCTGCAACGAAAATCCAAGCGGAAATTCGTGGATTCCTTGCCAGGAAACATGTCGAAAAGATGAAAAAGGAGGACACGCAGGCTGCGACAAAAATTCAAGCACATATCAGGTACTTCAACCTCAGTTCATCATATTTCATGCATAGTATCGATTACGAAACAAATATGCACTAGGGGGTGGAGTTTTGAGTCAGGGCGTGGCCAGAACCCGTTTGGTCAGCGCGTGCTTGGATGATCAGACTAAATAACAGTAGAAATATCTCCAATTTCTCTCAAATGACGCCATAGATTTCCTTCGACTGGTTCGATAGGGGTAATTGAGATATCTTATACGCCATTTCTGAAATTCCCTCCGAAATGGGCTCATTCTACTTTTTTTGTTGTTTTCATTCGATGCCGGTGCCAGTTTGACAAATTAGGGTGGGAGATTAGGCTGACACACTGTTCCAAGAGCAATACATCCGGGAAACATGTTTTTCACCCGAACTTTATTTCCATTTCCGGAATTCTTGTCGGTTTATCTGTTTCTTAACTTATTAATTACTGTTTAGGGGATTCTTAACAAGAAAACATTTGGACGAACAAGGTTTACTATCTCCAACACGTTCAAGAAGTCCTCTTCATACGCCTGACTCTGACGAGAATCACAATTAATTCATGATGCTCTTTGATGCGACTGTAATGTTGGCTATTTTTTAATATTTCCACTGTAGTTTGTATTTGATGAACTCGATATCTATTGATAATGGAAAACGAGTAATCCAATGTATCGCACATTGTTAATTGTGTTTTGCAGCAAGCAAGTGTGTATAAGTAATTTATGAAGTGAGGAAACGATCTTCATATAATGCATGTGTTCCGTACATGATGAATTCGATAAAGCCTGTGTTTTCGCTCTTGCTGGCATAATGTCCTCACTTAAATTTTCTGGAAATCACTCCGCTCGAACGTAAATTTATACAGCGAACTAATCTCGTGGGAGGGCCTATCTGACATTGAGACCATCTTCTCATCTTCAGTAACAGCGTGTGTGTTTGTTGACCTGTCAAAAACTTAGATGGTCGATCAGGCACCCTCCCTGACTGCCCACGCACAGCGCTATCTTTGCCGTCAGGTTTTGTTTGAACAGTTCAGAAGAGAGTGATGGATGGNTGGAAAAAATAACTGGCTGGCTTCCTAAGAATTTCGCTCACCCACCTAGCAGGAATAAGGAATGAAGGGATTTGCCACACGCCTATTATTATGATATACACAGTACATCTTTATCATCTGAGCACTCGTTTGTCCCTGTAAAAATAGTGAATATTGCCTTCTTCTGTTGCGGCTCTGTACGACCAGAAAAGATCTTCGCTCAAGCAAATTTCCTGACCTTGATGGTGCCTCATGCCACGTAATCGGGCTCCTCGGCATTCTACAAATCTGGCCGGTCAACGCAAGAGCTATTTCATGGTGAATGTATGATGAGTGTAACCTTGAACTGTTGTCAGCTCGATACTAAAATTATATGAAATAAATAAATTCAAATTTTTAGTAGACAAAAGTTCAAGGTTACTTTCTTCAAACATCCACCATGAAATAGCTCTTGTGTTGAATGGTCAGATTTGTAGAGCGCCAAACCCGATTATGAGTCATGAGGCACCATCGAGGTCGCTCTTCTGTATCTAAGGTTCGGCGGGAGCATTGTTCGAACTATTGAAGTAATGCTTCTATAAATGTTTGCGCTTGAAAAAAGAGCGTATGAGATCAGGACGATCCCATGATAAGTGTAGGTTTTTCTNNNNAAAAAAAATCGAGTTTTCGTGGTGTTATACACTGACGCCAATCATTCCCAGTTAATCGATTCCGTGAAGGCTCTACTCATTTGTGAAATACTCATTCGTCAAATATTTGCTCAGAACTGATTTGATACCCACAAAATGTGGTTCGAGCTTTCTACATTGAAAGCGCTGACCTGACTCTTTTGTATAACAGGCAAGCGTTGAAACATTCATACAGGGGAGAACGTGAGCGATGATTATGGTGTCTGGAAGCTCAACTTTTTTCATACCTGCCCAGTGGTGAGCTCAATCTGTTCCCTCCTTTCCGTCAAACATCGATAATATTATCCAATTCTACGAATCGATATCATGATCGATATCCTGCCATCGAATTTCGCATCCCATTACATCCTTCTCTGTAAATGTGGAGGAAGCAAGAAAATCCAAAAGCTGGACGATTTCGGTGTAACTACAAAGGGGGATTGACCGGTATCGAATAACCTCTACAAGCCGACATGACTTGCCTGGATTTCATCTTACACCTTCTTCCTTTTGTGTTACAATGTTCTGATGCTTATGAAAAGTGGGTAAGCCTGGCAAATCATAGTGCAGATGAATATCGATCGGTAATGACCAACCGATAAGGTAAGCAACGTAACAAAATTGATTTTTATTTCTTCGAAGGTTTTTCCTCTACCATATGAAGGGCCTGCGACTGGAGTACGACTAGTCATGAAGTTCATGACAGGCAGGTAAGCATCAAGGTAGAAAGGTTCCCGTAATACCCGCACATACACACATCTTTCACGAATTATGCACTGTGGTAAATAGGCATTCCCATTCGCTTGCTACCTAACGTTACCATGGTGATTCCAACGAAAAGAATTGCTTTTACAGCGTTTTTGCAAAATAGCCATCATAGGTGTTCATTCAAGCAGAGACCGCTGTTTTTCCAATGAAACGAAGTCTTTTGGAGAATAAGCATGAAAATTTCGGGATCATGAAGTTGAAAAACAAGGTTTTCATAGAGTTACAGCTCGATTATTTCATCAACATCCCATATGAAAATCATCTTAGCTGTTTAGGTATCGACCAGGTCTCAAAAAAAAAGTTTTTGCTTCAGGNATGTATGGAGCATGTTAGCGCGGTAGCAACCAGTGTAGTAGTGAATGAAGTGCTAAAGACCTAAGGAAAGTCTTAGAGTTATGCTTCAACGGAATCTCGTGGACGAAATTTCGGAAATACATCGTGCATGGAACAGGGCCGTTGAGAGCTGGTTTGTTGCCTGCGCTCTCTTACATAGGCAGAATACCGACTTCAAGAAATCATTCCTGTTGAAACGTCGATAAGTGGTATTCAAAACCTGGCATGCAATCTGCAAAGCCTTTCGCACACGATTCGCATTCCAGTGAATTGCCTGCAAAAACAGCCTTCAGTCCAGATTGCTTCTTCAACATTGGACATTATATGATTCCCTGCACCACCTCAGCTATCATATATGCTCACGTGTAGATTGATTGCAAGTAACTTTAGAAGCAAACTTAGTGTGGGGAAGTCACTTATCAACAACATCGAAGCAGATTGTCCATATTGCAACAGTGTCTTTTCCGTGAAGAATACCGGTGTTGACAAGAGCTGGCTTTCAAATGCAGAATAGCGGTCGTAAAGGATCTCCTAATCCGACCCTGTGTGTATGTACTGTCAAGGTATGATAAGATTGAACAGTATGTAGCAGAAGAGCCTTGCCCATCTTGCTCATTGACGATTGTCTTCTTCTGGGACCAGTAAGCTATACCCAACTGAAACATTGCTGACCAACTGGATCTTGAGCTGGCTCAAGAACAAGTCATTTCTCAGGCCTGTTTTAATCAGGCTCGACGGGTTAAGTCAAGCCAAACCTTTTTTATCAGAGGAATCTTACTCCTATCATCGCTCGTTAAAAATCACCATCATTTTTTATTTTTTAGCAGTTGCTTTACTAGGCTGCATGGGGACAGCGGAACTGGTATTCAGACATAATGGTCTCAGGGTTACTCGTTTTTCTTTTATCGTCAAATGAGAAGCTGTAGGTAGGTAGTTTAGTGTGTCCATGGAAACGAAAAGGTTCGCATAGCAGACGGAGCATATATAGCTTCAATACCATTCACACTGCAACGTCATCGTAAATTGGCTTATTCCATTTGCACGATTTCAAGCTATTCCCGTTCCATTTCGAAAAAAATTACAATTAGTCTTTAATATCTATCGCCCTAAAAAAATACAGGCTATCGTGCATTTTTTCGATGATGTTGAATTACTGCTTCTCTTCCGGTTTCTATTGTTACTGTCTCTATGAAATAGCTTTTTTAGTCACACTGCCAGAAGTTTTCTGTGGCTGCAAAGCCAAGTAGCCCTCAGACTCGACTCTTTGGAGAAAGAAACAGTAAACTCCTGTCTTTTACTCAAAGTAAAAGTTCACTTCGGAATTGGTTGGCTCGGAAGTATCGGTCCATTTACTATTTCTTACTGTTTTCAGGGGTCTAATCGCTCCTCCTAACCGAGGTACTATTTCTGAAGAGTCAAGAACAAAGGAAACACATCTCAAATAAGGTCGGACACAAGGGTCCAGATGTCGGTTCCAATGTTCGAAAGAGGAAACGACATGAAGCTGACCGTGGGCAGCATATCGGCATTCCCCAACAACCTGTCAGTTTGCTATCTGGAAAGCAGAAATATCACATACGCATGTGTTGTTCAGAAAACTCAGGTAACTACTCATTCTGCAGAAACAACAACTCGAGAAGGTGAAAGGCTTAATCGATCGTGAACGGAAGGTTTAAAGAAAATAGCCAGCCACACAAGCTGGACGTGATTATAGCTCACTTCCGTATTTTTCATTTGAGGCTCCGAGGTTGACGAGAACTTATTAGCTGGCATTTCCGTGAAATCGCTTTCTCCAAAACCTGAGAAATTGAAAGTGTATTTGCTATGAAGTGCTCAATCACTTTTCTATTTGCTAAGAGAAACTCTAAAGACTATCCTTCGACACAAAAATCTATATTAAACAGAGCTGAAACTATCGAAAAATGCGGAAAATGGCTGAAAAAAAGGGAGGCTTTGACATGCGGAGTCCGGGAACTACTAACATCTTGAACTGACATTTTACTTTAACTTTACTTTCTTAAACTACTTTCAGTAAATGCCAATGAACCAAGCTTCCCACTCCTCCAAGGCCGATTAATTGTTACCAGACTAATGTGTTAGATGAAAGCCCTGATCGGCTGGCCACGGCTTGTCATTGTATAGGCCACACTTGTATTCAAACCACCACTGCGATTTTGAACCACAGCAAATGCAGGGGTGCATCCCAAAGACACCTGTTCAGTCCGAAAGCTTTATCCTTTATTCCTTACACGATTGTAACATTATACATAGTACAGGAAAGTGATGATATATGTATAGTTCACGAGTACCGTATTACTCAGGAACTACAAACGCACCAGACACTGTATGTACCAGACATATATTTTTTCATGAACTATTTTCATAAATAAAGAAAGTTTTCTGTTGGGAATTTACCTTTATTACTACACATACCTAATGTACATACCTCAATATCTATTATGCTGTTATTATTACAGGTACACACGGTGAACTGGGATAGCAAAAATGAAAGCGTAAGTTGGGATAGTATCAATATCTCAGATACGAGCACGGACAAACCTGTAAATGTACTTCAGGTAATAAAAATTTTTGTAAATATTTTGTGTAAATATAAGCATTTACAGAGATTTTCAGGCTAGTTTAGTGCTCCCGAATGCTCGATCATTGCCATTACTAGTAGTTGGTACTACTAATGGTGCTCAGATATTCGACATGCGAACACAGAAACTTCTCGAGCAACAAATTCTTGATGCAGGAGTTTTCGTATGTTTACCTTTATTGAAAGCAGCTTGTAAGTATCAGCAATCGAATCGCTTCCCATTTACACGCTTTGGAATGTAATACAGAATGAAACGGATGTTTCAGGAAGCAGATGATTCATGGTTTTGGAGCAGTTTCTGCCGAGGAATAACGTGTAATGACAATACAATCTTAGTAGGTGAGGAGATCTTACAATTATAATTATCACTTTAAGCCGACATAAACAGAACTAACCCTGCGAAACCACAAGAAAAGAGATTTGGGAGAATATCCTTGAAAAGTTGGTGGAGGTGGTGTAGTGGCAAGTGGCTCCCTATCACCCATGCACGGTCACGGGTTCAAATCTCGAATCTATGTCCGCCTAGGCCAGGCCTTCCATCACTGCGGGGCCACTTAATTGGTACCAGGCTTGTCTTGGAGGATAAAAGCGCAGACTTGTACATCGGTTGGCAACCGCAATTAATTGTACAGGCCACATAGGCATCCAATACGCCACTACAATTCTGAATGGAAGTCGAATGCGTAGGCGCATCCTCAGACGGGATTGATTGACACCCCAAGACTTTAGACTTTGCTTTGTTCGTGGAAAGTAAGATTGAAAGTAAATAACAAGTAAGAACAGAGTTAGAGTTTAGGTACATCTATTGGACATATCATGCAGTTTCAATGCAACGGCGAAACATCCATATCAATAAAAAGAACTCTAAAGGTGTGCTTTCATCTACTTTGCAAAACATACCATTCAAATTCGTTCACAATAAATTAATTTCTTTCGTTTTATTCAACTGGCTGAGCGAGTTGGACCTAATTGTAAAACATTGCGACTATACATATTTATCTATGAGCTAGTATTCGAAATCCTTCAGGAGCACACCGCCAGCATAAGCGATTTAGCCACATGCCGTTATGACGATATAACCTGCTCTGGAGATAGTTCTGGAGTTATCAATGTGTGGAACAAGAGCATCAAAAGTGTCCAACTGAAAATCGCTACACAGTAAGTAATGTTGTAACGCATCCATAAGTATTCTCGATGAGCCGAGTATTTGCTATCGATGAGCGTCGCGATTTCATTTCGAGGCACATCTTGCTTTCGACCTTAGTTGGGGTTACCCACGAACATACCGGTGCCCTCACCCTATCAGAAGAATCTGGCACCAGTTAAAGAGCCCGGTGGGTTTGAAGGCTACGTTTTCGGAGCCTTATTTTCGTGCCAGGACCGTTTATCCTTCAAAATTTATAAATTATGAATTCCAGTGTAATTTCAGGGGCAGGCCGAAGCCAACCTTCCATAATTGTGCCGTCATCTTACGAATTAATCGTAAGGGCAGTGGTAGTGAAATGGGAAAGGCTACGAGATGACAATTAAATCTGCCAATTAGCTGCCACTGGAAAATAAGTGGGCCTGCTCTATAAATAGCTTATGATTAACGGCTTTGAATGACGTCATTGTGCCACTCCTAAATTTTCGAACTAGTTTTTATCCTCCAACTCGAAAGGTAGAGGTGTTCTTCTATTTGCTAGTATTAAAAATAAGTTACTCAGTAGTACTGGACAGTCCCACTCCTGAACTAACGTTTACTTCTACGAAACCGTAAACTGAAGAAGGTAGAGTAAAAGCCATGAGCGAGAGGGTGCTAATTTTTAATTTTTTCACTTCTTACAGGCATCCCATAACAGCCATGAGTGTGTTACGTAAACAAGTAATTGTTGGTACGCTACGTGGACGTGTGCTATTCTATTCCATCTCGGGTGGCGAGCTAATGGCTGAAGTGAGTGAGGGTGAAGCCACCTTCTTTCAGTTATTGTTACTGCTAACAATTGGATTTAGGTGTATGCACACGCTCGGCCCATAACATGTATTTCTGTGGCCCCGGAGAGCGCATATGTCCTGACTGGCTCGGAAGATGGGCGATTCATCGTATATAAGTTGCATACAAGGAAACCTCAAGCTTATCAGGTGTGATGCCTTTGCTCAGCTTCGATTCTCAAAGATGTCAATCTCAAAGATGTGGAAGCGATAAAGCTAAAATAAAGATTAGGTATAAGGAATACAAACGTAGGCACTTAATTCATACAATAATTTAAAAAATTCAAAAATTATCTTAAGAGGAGCCAAAAGTAGTCAGCGTTGAATCCTGACCATCACTAATAATGTTTGCCAGCAGGTGTGCTGAAATAGGTGCATGAGATACGGTGTGCTGAAAGTGAGGGTGAAATGATCGTGATTGGTTCCCGTGCTGTTAGCCAATCACAAGCATTTTATCCGTATGCGCATCCTACTAATTGGGCAACCCGTCCACACCCTGAGCGCTATTCCTGAGCTTTTGGAGTTGATAATTTACTGCCTGTCTTTGCCTATAATACAAAGTAGATTTGAGAACACTCTCGCATTTTCTGAACCTCTAAGAAATTCTCAATTACTTTGGAGATACTTTACCGGACCTCAAGAACGTAGGGTAGGATCTTCACGATTCGAGCTCTAAGATTCTAGAAGGTTCGTGCTTTGAATATCGGTGTGTTCTGAATGGTGCTGCCTTGACATTTTTTACTTGTCAAACAGCTCCATTTTAAATACTGCTACTGACACCAGTTGTGCACAATTCAGGTAGAGTACCGGTTTTCCGATGAGTTGCCGAATTGTGCCATTATGGGAGCCCAGTTCACCAATGGAAGAGGAAGCAACATCGCAGTGACTTGTTTCGATCGAAATGCTATCTACGGATATCGTATAGTCAAGAAGACTTCAGCTTAAAATTATGCTATGTGTACAATAATTTTGTCCTAATGAATGAGCTAGCAACTTTTTGGTTACAAGAATTCCAGAGTCAACTGTAATTATTTGTTAGCTTCGTATAATGGGTATTCTCAAAATGTGCATGCGATGCGTTTTAGGAGTCGCCGATCTGTGAAAAAGCGCTGCATGAGGTGTTTTCTCGACCAGAGGAGCCTCAAAATAACGACATTAGGTCCCAGAGCTATGACAGCTCCGCCTCAGAGAAACGTTAGCAACAGGCATCAAAGTTGCAATTTAGTTTCGAGTATTAGATTGCGAAAGACATTATCTCGATTTGAGACTAGAGAACGAATGATTTCGTTTATTTTTCAAATTTCAATTGATATTATTTGGGAAATCAATGAAAAAATGAGGCCTGTTCCCACACGATCATCACTTCAAAAGACTGCTCACCAACAGAGCTGTCTTTTCATGCAGAATATTACGGATTGTAGTCGTAAGATTTTCTTGTTTAAACCTGTAACCGAGATGTCAAACAAATATTATCCGACTTTCGTTTCGGCTTTGTCGCCTTCATCAGAATCTCAAGAAATGACCGCTCTTGATGTTGGCCAACGCCAAACTAGCTATTACCGATTGAGTTCACCTTCTCTCAGCTTTCCTCGATTATCTCACTGAGGAAGTTATAAATAATTTAAGGCATTCTTTGATTTCGTTCTTGAAATCGAAAAAAGATATGAGGAGCGTGCATCATTAAAATGAGGGATTACATTGAAAAGGCTCCAGTCAAGCCGTGGATGTTCATTTGCCGTAGTGCAAGTTTGATGACCCTGGCTGGGGTCGCCCTTAACTCAATACATATCTGTTAGTGCGCATAGGGGATTGAGGTGAAGAATGGAAGCTTACAGAAAAACTCAAAGTAAAGAGTTACTACGTAAGGAAGAGTGCTGTGGAAACTTCATTTCTGATATGGAGATATTTTCGTTAAGAAACTCTCGCTTCTCCGCAGGGTTAGTTATACAACTTTTTACAGTGAGGTACATTAGACCTTCGTGAGGGTATCATTAGGTTCGCCGAACATGAGAGGAAGTTATGCTTTTCTGTTGCTCTCAGGGAACAGAACAGCTCTTGTAGAATGCTTTGGCGGGAAACAGTTGATCGTATTCTTTGGAGAGGGATCTCGACAATCCCCCCTTTTTTGAAGGGGAAAATTAATCTTCACAACAATGATGAAGAGAGAATCACAGCACCATTTTTTTCACAAACAGCCTCTTTTCGACAAGCCTTGCAGCAACAACTCCAACGTGAAGCTGAGGTGATCAGCAGATCGGAACTCGTTCTGGAAGCATTTAGGAGCTCCGGTGCTGTAGTACACAGTGGTCCCTTTCAGAAGACGATCGCACACACACGTTGCAGCAAGGCTGACTATGGTACTATGCGACAAGGCTGACCATGGAGCTACTTGCGATTTTTCAGTGTTCCCACCTTGATAGACAAAAGTGCAGCTTGAAAGATCTTACGAGTATGTAAGCGAGGGAATGAAGTGAGTAAACGATTTCATAGCTGAATAGGAAGTAACGTATAAGCGTAACTATGTCGCGAATGCCCAAAACAAAGCAATTCTATAGATCTTTTGTCCTCATTCTGCACTGTCACTGTCAGCTCCAGGCTCCATTCGAATTTCCGAGATGAATCCTCCCTGTTTACCCTTCATAGCTCCTATGTACCTGACAATTTCGCCGGTGAAATCCTCGATGAAACGGATATCCTAAAAATACCTGTCTTTAGCAGCTGAGTTATAGGTAGGAAACTTCTTAAATGTTCATGAACAGGGGATGGATCATCATACGGAAACTAACAGCTTTCGAAGTATTTGGAGTCATGAAACAATTAACGAGTTCAGCCGCTCGATGTAGAACGGATGTCAAACAGTCTGAGCTGCAGTCGGCTCAAATCAGTCTTACTTTAGCGATCTGGACACCAACACAGGTGTCGGGCTGAGTCTTGAATCCGGGAGCTGAGGTGGATCAGAGTCCTTTTTCTACGACAAGGTCTCACTAGGGAGACGGGGCTTCTACGATGCTAATCCGAACTATGGCCAGGTCACACTTTCCAAGTCACACTTCGAAATGAAAATCTTAGGAATGAATGGCTTGGGAGGGTACCCATTTGGGGTTCGAGTTCCCTAAATAGCGAACGTTTCGATAATTGATCTCATCCCTGTTAGGTCCTTCGGCCTGAATGTAACTGAGGGCTAAGGAAGCAGGAAGACTCGATAATGTAAGATTGTTGAGGGTTATTCCTGCTCCGGAACAGTCGAACTCCCTTCAGAGGGAAGTGGATCTAGCTTTACGATGCCATCCCTGCGAGGTCTCTCGAACTGAATATAACTGAGGGCTGAGAAACAGGAAGACTAAGCGGTGGAAGATTGTTGAGGACTATTCCTGCTCCGGAGTAGTGGAGATTTCTTCAGAGGGTAGGAGATTTTGCTTTAAGGAAGCTTCGTTCATGTCGCCGTTCCTGAGCCGCAATGCTCATCTATGTTTCATACATCATAGTGCACTAGCGAGACTCTTTAATAATGAGATGGGCAACGATGTGCTAACACGTTGCTAAGATTAGTGAAGGAGCCTATCTTTTCTCCTTCACTATAAGCCGTTCTCTTGTCGGGCTTGTCGACACATTCCGTCGTTGTCGTAGTCTCGTCAGCCACGAACAATACAACAAAAGGAAAGCGTGCCACATAGTTAAGGCCACTCGAAAACGAATTGAATTATTGATTTTACCACTCGGCCCTAAATCTGATATACATAGCAGCTTCGAAGCGCTCAAAAACACATCACTTCGACATCACTCAACTTCTACACTCTCTACTAGTAGAGTCCTTTCGAGAATGCACTCAAAATCCTCCTAACGAGCGGATGAACTTGTGACTGAGTGCCCCCCGTCTTCTCGATACGCCCCTACTAATCACCACGTAATAGAAGCCATTTCCGTATAGAGACGTATTACGTAAGCGGAAGCGTAGATGTTGATGAGATCTGCCCAGTCGCCCCAGTACATCTACTTTATCGACGTTCGTTGGTGGTAAACCTTCGAAAAATATGTTTTCAAATAGGAGTTACGTCGTTTCCAACGCGATTCAGGGTAGTAAATTGTGTTATGCTGCGGAAGGAAGGTCCCTTGGTCCTGAGTGTCTACGTTGCCCTCGACGTTTCACTAATTGCTGTCCCCAAAATCGATTTACCAGCTAAGTACATGCTTACACACACATTTACCTGCTTCGGCGATTCTATGGGTTGTCCAGTGGGCGCTTTCCCATCATCATCGATCACTCTTAATTACCCAAAAAAAGCAAGTCGTTGAGTACAACTACCTACTTACCTATTTTGCAACTTCTCTTTGGCGTTCATTGTTTTCAGTGGTGCCGTTAAAATGGGCCCTTCAAAACCGTAAGCATCGGATCTGCCTATTAGCTTACATTCTTCTCTTGGGTGCACAGTAACACGTCCGTCCCATCTCGTTTGGAGGTGTTCATAGTCTTTCTCATCATCTCAATTACGTGAGCTCCGGCTCCTCATCGTGAGCTGCTCGAGTAGCGAGAACAAGAGTGAGAAAAAGTAGCATCTATGAGTACCTGAGTACCTGAGACCCTCAGAAATCCCTCTTTTGAGTGACAAATTGAGCCTCACACCTCCCTTCTGACCCCAACCCTTTCGCCATGGGAAGCCTTACGTCTTTCCGAGTTCCTTACCTTAGGATTCCTTGACCTCCCACACAAAGGAACCTGTGGTAATGTCTCTCAAACTCGTCCCTATTGGGTCTTTTCGGCCGTATGCATGTAGGAGAGGCTTCATGTTGTTTGGTAGTAGTTCTGCTTCAGTGCTCTCGAAGCTTTAGCAAGCCATACTGATAAATAGGACCGTTCTCATGCTGCTCGTGCTTCTCCATTGGGTTGAATCGTAGAAATGTCCATTTCTTAGAGTCGTAACTTCAACATAAGTGCACGACAGCTTTTTTGAAATGGCTCCATTATTCCCGACTCTCACATTCCTCACACGTAAAAGGCGCTGGAATAAGCATTGTTTACTATTTCAGACAAGGGTATTTGTGTCTTCGTTTGCTTTGTTTCTTCCATGGCGCCCTCTATGGCATTTCATGTCCTTACTACAATTCTAAATTGGCATGCACAAAGTTAAAAATATTCAAAACTGATCTGTCGACGTCACCGAGTACAATCATCATGCACAATACCCATCTATCACTTATTATCTTGAAGATCTCGTGTTATTCCCATTTCGTTGCAGTAATTAAGCCATGTGCTCCTGCTGATTCTTATGCATGCCAGGTTGTTCTGGTTACTTTGTTGGGGTAACCTACACATACAAATGCTGTTCAGCTCGCGTTTTCCGCTCAGACGGCTTGGAGCAAAACAATGGAATACGCTCTCAACAACGTTGGTATTGCTGAGCAAATCCCTAACTTTGTCAAGCGCAACTCCATTGGGAATCGAGCCATGGTTACGCACGCGTCGCTCTCTCACTCGTCGGGATAGCCCATCTGTGTCACTCGAGCTATCATCAACGCTTTCTTCAGTTCACATATCGCATATCGTGGTTTTGACTATCCTTAGCGCGACCGTTCTTTTCCCATGAAGATTTCAATGGGTAGATTTTATAGGGGCAGGGTTTTCTCAGAAAAATCTCGGCAACCAAGTGGTGGAGGCTGGAACTGCCGATGACGGCGGCGGTCAGCACCTCCTCGGAGTCGTTGAGGACGAACTGAGCTGCTGCACCTTCACTGGGGCTGCGTCCGTGTCCTCCACCCTTCGCAGGCTATCTCGTAGCGTTCGACCTGGTGATTTTGGTCCCCGCAAGCCGAGCAACACTGATCGATATTCAGTTGCGCTGCATATGCTTGTTGTTCGTGTGTCTAGCGGCGTGTACACACATGGGCACATGGCTATAGTCGGTAGCTGTGATATCGACATTACCGATGATGGTTCCGATCATTGCAAC